GAGACCAGGTTTTGCTATGCTGACCAGGCTATCTCAAACTCCTGGCCTCAAGTGGTCCTCCCCACCTGGCCAAATTGCTGGGATTACAGGCATGAGTTACCATGCTCTGGCTTGGTACATAATTTTAACAGGTTAGAAGTTTCCTGCTTTTTCAGTTGGCCAAGAGTTAACTTATCTTGAATGGTTTTAAATTTAATCAAAATAGTTGACATCTATTTGAGAGAGAGCATTTTTTTCCCCTTTTTAAAATGGTTGATGTAGTGAATAACATTAGATTTTCTGGCGTTAAGCCAGCTTAATGTTCCTTGTAAACTCCACTTGACCATGATGTATGACTTTAAAAAAAAACACAGGATTCCAGCTTGCTACCATTTTCTTTAGGAATTTCACATCTTCGTTCATACACAGGATTGGTCCTTAATTGTCTTATCTTGTATTATCCCTTTCTGGTCATATTACCAGAGTTATACCAGTTTCACAAAATAGTTGAGGAGTGGTTTTTTTGGTTGTTGTTTTTTTTTGTTTTTTGTTTTTTCCTGAGACAGAGTCTTGATCTGTTGACCAGGCTGAAGTGCAGTGGTGTGATCTTGGCTCACTGCAGCCTCCCAAGTCCAAGCAATTCTCCTGCCTCAGCCTCCTGAGTAGCTGGGATTATAGGTTCATAGCACCAAGCCTGGCTAATTTTTTTTTGTATTTTTAGTTGAGACGGGGTTTTACCATGTTGACCAGGCTGGTCTTGAACTCCTGACATTAAGTGATCCACCTGCCTCAGCCTCCCAAAGTGCTGGGCGACAGAGCGAGACTCCATCTCAGAAAAAAATAAAAATTTGTGGCCCCTTTAGTGAGCTAGTGGACCTTCAGGGATCCTTGCTCTATGGAAAGTTCTGTATCCTAATTCCATTTTACATAAGCTCAGGTCTTGTCTCTTGAATCGTGTCCTAGATGTCTAGAGATCAGCAATGGCACTTAAAATAGCTTCCACCTTAAAAATCCCTTTACCACTCTATGGATTCAAACTCCCACATCATTTTTGGTTCCTGAAAATTTTACTTTTTTGATAGCTCAGCAATGTAAGTAAATGAATGTTGTAAATTTTGCATCCAGAATGTTCAGGTGTTTTGTAGCTGACTTGTTTTCAGTTTAGTCTGTCATAATCCCTGAAATAGAAGTGGGAAGCATCCAGTCCTTCTTTAGACTAATAAAGAAAAGATTTGGGAGAATTTTTTTTTTTTTTTTTTTTGAGACAAGAGTCTCGCTGTGGCGCGATCTTGGCTCACTGCAACCTCCGCCTCCCAGGTTCAAGCCATTCTCCTCCCGGGCAGCTGGAATTACAGGTGCCTGCTACCATACTCAGCTAATTTTTGTATTTTTAATAGCGATGGGATTTTACCATGATAGCCAGGCTGGTATCAAACTCTTGAACCCAAGTTATCCACTCGCCTAGGCTTCCCAAAGTGCTGGGATTACAGGCGTGAGCCACTGCACCTTGCTTGGGAGAAGTTTTAAGATTTCTAAAAAACTAAATAATTTGAATAGGGCTTTATAATATTGCGTACCCTAATATAGCATTGTCTAGTTAGCAGAACTTCTTTTGATAATGAAATGTTCTACATCTGTGCGCCAGGCATGGAATTAGGATACAGAACTTTCCATAGAGCTAGGATCCCTGAACGTCCACTAGCTCAATAAAGGGGCCACAAATTTTTATTTTTTTCTGAGATGGAGTCACGCTCTGTCGCCCAGCATTTTGGGAGGCTGAGGCAGGTGGATCACTTAATGTCAGGAGTTCAAAGCCACTCGTCACAAGCAGCTATCAAACACTTGCAAAGTGGCTAGTGTAACTGAGGAACTGAATTTTAAATGTAATTAGTTTTAACTGTGCTGCCATAAAGATTCCTTAAACACTGAGGTCTAGTATTTAATAGACACTCTAGCAGCTGAGGCTTCCTATGAGCTCATCTTTTCCTTGAACCAGGCATTTTTTTTTTTTTTTTTTTTGAGATGGAGTGTCGTTCTTGTTGCCAAGGCTGGAGTGCAGTGGTGCGATCTCGGCTAACCGCAACCTCTGCCTCCCAGGTTCAAGCGATTCTCCTGCCTCAGCCTCCCAAGTAGCTGGAATTACAGGCATGTGCCACCATGCCCGACTAATTTTTTGTATTTTCAGTAGACATGGGGTTTTTCCATATTGCTCAGGCTGGTCTGGAACTCCCAACCTCAGGTGATCCGCCTGCCTTGACCTCCCAAAGTGCTGGGATTACAGGTGTGAGCCACCATGCCTGGCGCATTCCTTTTTTTTTTTTTTTTTTTAAAGACAAGGCCTTGCTCTGTTGCCCAGGCTGGAGTGGAACGGTATGATTATAGCTCACTGCAGCCTCAAACTCCTGAGCTCAAGTGATCCTCCCACCTCAGCCTCCTGAATAGCTGGGACTACAAGTGTGAGCCGCCAGGTGGGACTTGAGCCAGGCTTTTTGAAGATAATTCTGGTTTTATATTTTAATAAAAATTATACCCATACTGATGAATTTTTGCCAATAATAAATACATTTCTCTACAATTTCATTTCAAATGCTTCTTGTTTGTTCATTATATTTTAGCTACACAGGTCATTCTTATTTTTTTTGAGACTGAGTCTTGCTCCCTGTCACCCAGGGTGAAGTGCAGCAGCGCAATCCTGGCTTACTGCAACCTGTACCTCCTGAGTTCAAGTGATTCTCCTGCCTCAGACTCCCAGGTAGCTGGGATAATGGGTGTACACCACCACACCCAACTAATTTTTATGTTTTTAGTAGAGATGGGGTTTCACCATGTTGGTCAGGCTGGTCTTGAACTCCTGACCTCGTGATCCACCCACCTCAGCCTCCCAAAGTGCCGGGATTACAGGTGTGAGCCATTGCACCCAGCCCATTCTTATTTTTTTTTAAATGTCAAGCATATAACTGCTCTAGAGTCTCTGACATCTAATATTTACTCTGCCTGGGCTCTTCATATGGCCGGTTCCTTCTTATCATTCAAGTCTCAGCTTAAATGTCAGTCACCTTTTGCGAGGTGCAAGATCATCTTATCTAAAGGGCTTGACCAGGCAGGGTGGCTCACACCGGTAATCCCACCACTTTGGGAGGTGGGCAGGTCACTTAAGGTCAGGAGTTTGAGAACAGTCTGGCCTCAAACATGGCAAAACTCTGTCTCTAATAAAAATGCAAAAATTAGCCAGGCATGCTAGTGCATGCCTGTAATTCCTGCTACTCCGGAGGCTGAAGCAGGACAGTCGCTTGAACCAGGGAGGCAAAGGTTGCAGTGAGTCAAGATCGCACCACTGTACTCCAGCCTGGGTGATAGAGTGAGACTCTGTCTCAAAGAAAAACAAAAGGGAGGGCTCCTACCTCAGGCTCTACACACTGTCCAGTTTTGTTCTGTTAACAGCATTTAATCATTATCTTGCTTATGTCACATACCCCATTTGAATATACATTTTGTGAAAGGAGAGGCTTCCTCTGTCTTGCTCAGAACTGATAGTGGCCGGCACACGGAAAACGGAGACCTGGAGAAGTTAAGTGACTTGTCCAAAGTTGCACAGCTAGTCAGTGTTGGGGACCGACTTCATGGCTCTCAATTCTGGGCTCTTTTTGCGAAAACTAGCTACTCCACTGAAATTTCCTTCCTAATGGCAAAAAAAGTCCAAAAAAAAAAGCCAGGAAATTTTCATAAAATCAGGGTCTTGGAGTCAAGCAGGTTTTGTCATTGCCATTTGTCCTCCAGGATATTTTTTTTTTACTAGTCTTGAATACAGTTTACAACCTCTTTTTGTATATTCTCAGACGGTGAGGAATGGATCCAGGAAACCTGTGGACAGATGACAAATTTTTTTGTTGTTGTTGAAGATAATTATTCCAGATCCTAAGTCTCCCCTAATAATTTAGCTTTCTGCATCACACACACAAGTCTTTTATCCAACTCGGAATCTATATTTCTGGTAGAAAAAATCCCAAAATCAGACTAACACATGGTACACTTTGTTACTGAACAAAAACTGACCGTAAATTGCATCTTGTTGCTAATGCTGAAAATGGCAAAAACTGTCCCACATCCATTAGATCTGTCGAAAACCTAAACTCAAATCACTGGTAAAAACGTTTCACTGACTAAAACGATGTAAGTACCAACTCTTAACAAAATTTAGATCTGTCAACACCAGGGAAAAAAGGGCTAACTACAAACAATGGCTACCAAGCAAACTCTCAACAGCGGAAGTTACCAGTAATAATGTTACATAGCAAAAAAAAAAAAAAAGAGAAAGGAAACCCGGGGAGACGAATCATACCGCAAATCTTATCCCCAGGGAAGATGGGCAGAAATACAGGCAGACTAGATAGGAGGGGAATGCCTCCAGCCCAGAAATAAGTGGGTGATGGAAATGGTTCTTCTGGCCCTGTTCGTTTTCCTTTCTTTTCAGCAGAAAAGTGCTGAGTCCACAAAGAAAAAAACCGGTCAGGATGAAAATTTCTGTAAAGCAATGAAAACGGGGGAAAAATGGAAATGGCTTAAATACTCGGTATTAACAAAGAGACCAAATTATAAAGTGGGCTCACGGATTTGCGTCAGAAACGTTACTTCCCCGACAACTGGTCAACGTCGGTGTAAGTATGATTAAAATGTCAGTATTAGGGCCGGGGGCGGTGGCTCACGCCTGTCATCCCAGCACTTTGGGAGACCGAGGCGGGCGGATCACGAGGTCAAGAGATCGAGACCATGTCAACATGGTGAAACCCCGTCTCTACTAAAAATACAAAAAATTAGCTGGGCATGGTGGCGCACACCTGTAGTCTCAGCTACTCAGGAGGCTGAAGCAGGAGAATTGCCTGAACCCAGGAGGCGGAGGTTGCGGTGAGCCGGGATCGCGCCATTGCACTCCAGCCTGGGTAACAAGAGCGAAACTCCGTCTCAAAAAAAAAAAAAAAAAAAGTCAGTATTAAAACAAGGTCTCCAACACTCCCGTGGCCCAAGGGGGTCTTCGGCTACCGCTCCCGAGCGTGGGCCTGGGGGTCCCTATTCCCTGCGCTCGCATCTCTAGCCCGCCGCTTTCGGGACTCTCAGCCTTCTTTTCCCTTCCCTCACGGCCGGCCGGCACCGCAACCAGGCCAAAAGCAATAACTGAGTTGAAAGGAGCGCCCTGAGACAGGTCAGACGGCTCCGCCATACGCGGCCCGCAGCCACAGCAGACCCCCTAGCCGGGTACGCTGGGAGTTGGCGTCTCAGCCCAGCCAGGCAGCCAGGCTCGGGCGAAGGGCGGGGCCAGCCCGAGGCGCGCAGGCGCACACCGCCTCCCAGGCAGCATGGCGGACGCAGAGCCTCAACCCAGCAAGAGAAAGCGCGAGCTGGACTTGGAGGAGGCGCAGGCCGCCAGCACAGAGGAAAAGAAGGCTGACGTTGGAAATGGTACCTGTGCTCCTGTCCGCTTACCGTTCTCCGGCTTCAGACTGCAGAAAGTGCTGAGGGAGTCCGCGCGGGACAAAATCATTTTCCTACACGGAAAGGTACCAGGAGGCATTCCTGGGGTGGGACGCGGGAACCAGTGAACCAATCACCACTTCGGAGGCGGATTTTTTTTTTTTTTTTTTTTTTTTTTTTTTCCCGGATCTCGACCGGAAAATACCAATCATCACTCGGGGGAGGCGGAATGCGCCACTAGAAAGCACAGAGGGGCGGTAAAAGGCGGCAAGATTGACCTTGAAAATAAGGCAATGAACACATCTAGCTCTAATTTTTCTAAGTGTCTCCTTGACTAGAAATATCTACTAGGAGAGTGTATTGCAGATTAAAGATCACGTGTTACATTTCCCAAGCCATTCATCGTCATCCACTTATGTATACAGGGACTGGGGATCCGATAAACGTTAGATGTCTTACCCATCCCTGGCCCCGGAAACGACATGAGACTGTAGGAGATGTGATCTCTGCCTTACACGACTTCAGCCCTAACAGGAGACAATATATTATAATTGTTAATTCTGTTCTACACACGCATTTTCATGCATGCCAGAGGCTCAGCTAGGTACTGGGGATGTGGAGATGAAAGTTACCATCCCCGATCTTCAGGACTACGGAATATTTCTGGCGAGACAGATACACACAGCTTGCTCCACTACCAGCGTGCTCAGCTGGGCTGAGGAGAGATGGAGACCATTCTAGGAACTAGTAAGGAGGCCCAGCCAGGGCAGGCATGGGGGTTTTCCAAAACTACTAGCAGGAACTCTCACCTTTGGGAGGATCAGGGAACCTTGGTCTAGGCTTCCATGCCTCTTTGTGTGTCTTTTTTTTTGGTTGGTTTTTTTTTTTTTTTTTTTGAGACAGATTCTCTCCTCTTTGTCACACAGGCTGGAGTGCAGTGGTGCGATCTCAGCTCACTGCAACCTCTGCCTCCTGGGTTCTAGCGATTCTCCCTTGGCTCAGCCTCCTGAGTAGCTGGGATTACAGGCACCTGCCACTATGCTCGGCTAATTTTTTATTTTTAGTAGAGACAGAGTTTCGCCATGTCGTCCAATCTGGTCTTGAACTGCTGACTTAAGGTGATCCCCCCCGCCTTGGCTGCTGACTTAAGGTGATTCCCCCCCCCACCCCGCCTTGGCCTTCCTAAGTGCTTGGATTATAGGTGTGAGATACCGTGCTGGGGCTTTTTTTTTTTTTTTTTTTTTAATTAATGAGGTTTTTATGTTGCCCAGGCTGGCCTCGAATGCGTAGCCTCGCCTCCTCAAGCATCAGGACAACAGGCCTGAGCCACTGAGGCTCCCTTCTTTCTTTTTTTTTTTTATATGAGGTTTTGTCTGGTTTTCTCAGCCCAGCCGTCTTCAGTGTGCAGTACCTGCTGAAGTTGTTAGCCACGAGGGCCTTCGAGCTAGGAGTCACTTGGGAGACCCAGGTTCTAGTTTCTGTTTCAATGCTGACTGTTCATGTGACCTTGGGCAAGTCACTCAAGATCTCAGTTTTTCATCTTTTCTTCTGAAATGGGGAGAACTTGACAGAGATCTCGTAAGCCTAAAATGGAAGACAACTGAGAGGCGTTGCATTTTGGGGAAGAGAAGTGTGAGAGCCACCACAAGGATTTGGGTTGATATGCCTTCTCTGGTTGGGCACAGTGGCTCGTGCCTGCAATCCCAGCACTTTGGGAGGCGGAGGTGTGCAGATCATTTGAGATTGGGAGTTCAAGACCAGCCTGGCCAACATCATGAAACCCCATCTCTACTAAAAATACAAAAATTAGCTGGGTGTGGTGGCTCACACCTGTAATCCCAGCACTTTGGGAGGCTGAAGTGAGTGGATCACCTGAGGTCAGGAGTTCAAGACCAGCCTGACCTACATGGAGTAACCCCCATCTCTACTAAAAATGCAAAATTAGCTGGGCCTGGTGGTGAATTCCTGTAATCCCAGCTTCTTGGGAGGCTGTGGCAGTACAATTGCTTGAATCCAGGGGGCGGAGGTTGCAGTGAGCTGAGATCGCACCATTGCACTTCAGCCTGGGTGACAGAGCAAGACTACATCACACACACAAAAAAAAGAGAGACGTCTTCTTTGAGAAAAGAAATGTGAGTGCCATTGGCTAGACTTTCCTAGAGGGAAGACTTCAGAGAAGGAAATCCCAAGTACTAGGATTTCAAAGGCCCTGGAAGCTTCTGTCTCTGCTCTTCAGAGTCTCATAGTGGCTCTGTCCTCGAGCCCACTGATGATGCCCTTGCCCACAGGTGAATGAAACCTCTGGGGATGGGGCTGGAGAGGATGCCGTTGTGATCCTGGAGAAGACGCCATTTCAGGTGGAACAGGTGGCTCAGCTCCTGACAGGCAGCCCTGAGCTCCAGCTGCAGTTCTCCAACGATATCTACAGCACCTATCACTTGTTCCCTCCAAGACAACTGAGTGGTGAGCAAGAGGTGGCCAAGGTGTCTGTATGGAGGGAGAATGGGATGGTGGGAAATTAGGTGGTATGGTGACCAGACTCTCTATCCCCGATTTGCATGTTCTAGTACAATAGGGAGATTTCCTCGCTAGGGAACATTTTTGGTTGTCAGAATGTGGGGTGGTGGTGGGTGTTGCTTCTGGCATCTAGTGGGTAGAGACCAAGAATGCGGCTAAACACCTTCCCATGCAAAGGACAGGCTCCCACAGCAAAGTAATGTCAGTAGTGCTGAAATTGAGAAACCTGGCCAGGCGTGGTAGCCCACGCCTGTAATTCCAGCACTTTGGGAGGCCAAGGCGAGCAGATCACCTGAAGTTGGGAGTTTGAGACCAGCCTCTTGGCAAACATGGTGAAACCTCACCTCTACTAAAAATACAAAAATTAGCCAGGCATGGTAACATGCGCCCATAATCCTAACTACTTGGGAGGCTAAGGCAGGAGAATCGCTTGAACCCAGGAGGTGGAGGTTGCAGTGAGCCGAGATTGTGCTACTGCACTCCAGCCTGGGTGACAAGAGTGAAACACTCTCAAAAAAAAAAAAAACGAAAACAAAAAAGAGAAACGTTGCTCTAATGTAGTATGTTTCAGGGAAAGTGTGATTCATGGGATAGAATAATAGATTAATTTACTACTTGAATGATAAAAATTGTCAACACTTAGGAAATGCTTACTATTGTGCTAGTCAGCCTTCCAAGTAATCTACATATATTAACACGGTTAATCCTCAAACGGCCCTCTAGTGAGAGGGCTTTACGGGTGAGGAAACTGGTTTTGAAAGGTTAAGTAACTTGTCCCAAGTCACGAAGCCAGTAGGTGGCAGGAAAGCTACGGTTTTTCTAGACTGGTGTCTCCCTTACCATGCTCATGCTGTGGGCCGGCCAGCATGTTGGGTGCTGCAAAAATCAGTCACTTCCCTAAAGGAACCTACTTTGAGGTGCGGGAGACAACTAGTGTGATCAAGGGGGATGGGAGAGAAGGGCAGGAACTCGTGGGTTAGAAGGCAGAGATTTGTTTTTCATTGCCAGCATTTCTTAATTTGTTAAAAAGAATATTTGATGCCAAAAGCCGGGCATGACATACGCGTTTTTTCTTAAGATGGTTAGATTTTGTAGGCAGCTTTGCTAGAAGCATGAAGGAGACTGGTTGCCCTTAAAGATTCCTTCCAACCAGCAAATTCTGGAATCTGTTTTACAGCACATGGTGACTTTGTCACATCCTTCTGTCTTCTTGTTTGCCCTCCAGCGTTTAAGAGCAGTCTGGCTTTGCAGATATCCTGGCCCACAGTTTTTTGATAGATATTCTTTTCTGCCCTCCATGAAAGGGTACTATTGTGGTCCTTTGGAAATATACGTGAACACTTGATGGTGAGACAAGCAAACCTTTCATGACTTAATGCAAAACAGCCTTGTCTTCCATTGAGTGAAAGCCAGATTAATTGCTGCAAGTTGATGGAAATGGACAGCTGTATTTACTTTCTCAGGCATTGACATTTAAGCAAATGTATTCCTCAGCACAGGGCGGCAGAAGCATGACAGAAGGCACTGTGGCCAAACACAACTTGGCCCCTGCATTACAGGCTCTGGGGCTATTGTTTTATTGCCACACCCTTTCTCTGTCCTTCCGAAATCCCTCTACCCACCCTCCCAACTCTTGGCCAAAATTCAGAAGGTACTGCCTGCACATCAACCCTGTGGAATTCACAGGCTCTGTTTTTTATTTTCCTAGTACTTCTGTGGCGCTGCACGCAAGTGGAGGTGGTCCCTGCCCGCTCTTTCTATTTCTATTTTTTTGTTCCAAGATAAGCTCTGAAAGAGGCAGTGGGGGTTATTGGCTCACCACAAGTTCTTGTGCCCACTTCAAACCCCAGTTGTTTCCACAACCCTTTCCCCAGGGCCACCCCCACCCACCTGGGAGCTTCAGATGTTCATCTTTTCCTGACTTATTCTTTTTATTGAGACAGAGTTTCACTCTTGTTGCCTAGGCTGAAGTGCAATGGCATGTTTGCGACTTAACGCAACCTCCGCTTCGTGGGTTCAAGTGATTCTCCTGCCTCAGCCTCTCAAGTAGCTGGGATTACAGGTGCCTGCCACCATGCCCAGCTATTTTTTTTTTTTTTTTAGACAGTTTCGCTCTTGTTGACCAGGCTGGAGTGCAATGGCGTGTTCTCAGCTCACCACAACCTCTGTCTCCCAGGTTCAAGCGATTCTCCTGCCTCAGCCCCCTGAGTAGCTGGGATTATAGGCACCTGCCACCATGCCTGGCTAATTTTGTATTTTTGGTAGAGATGGGTTTCTCCATGTTGATCAGGCTGGTCTTGAACTCCTGACCTCAGATGATCCGCCCACCTAGGCCTTCCAAAGTGCTGGGATTACAGGTGTGAGCCATCACACCTGGCCATGCCCAGCTCATTTTCGTATTTTTAGTAAAGACAGGGTTTCACCATGTTGGCAAGGCTGGTGTCAAACTCCTGACCTCAGGTGATCCACCCACCTCAGCCTCCCAAAGGGCTGGGATTACAGGCGTGAGCCACTGTGCCTGGCCTTCCTGCCCTCTTGGCATATAATTCATCCCTCAATATCCACTGGGGATTGGTTCCAGGACCCTCCTCAGATACTAAAACCTAGGATGCTCAAGTCCCTGATATAAAATGTACAGTGTTTGCATGTACCCTAAGCACATCCTTCCATATACTTTAAATCATCTCTAGGTTATTTTTATTACCTGCTACAATGTAATGCTATGTAAATCGTCGTTATACCATGTTTCTTAGGTAATAATGACAAGAAAAGTCTGTTTCTGTTCAGTATAGACACAATGTCCTTCTTTTTAAAAATAGTTTTGATCTGCAGTTGGTTGAATCCACAGTTATGGAACCCACAATATGGAAGGCCCGCTGTACATATGGTGCCTTACACTCTCGTTTTTCCTACCAAAACTAGGGATGGGGATTTGGAAGTTACAGCGGTTTGCTTCAGGGCCCAGTCGCTCCCTTGTTTAGCTACACACCGTGTCCGTGGGTGATATCCAAGGTCAGGGTTGGCAAACTTTTTCTGTCAAAAACCGAAGAGTCAATATTTTAGGCCTTGTGAAGCACACATGGTCTCTGTCTCCCTTTCTTCTTTTTTTCCATCTTCCTCCCTACCTCTTTTCTGTCTTTTCTGCCTTCTCCTTCTCCTTTTTCTCAACCCCTGTGAAAATGAAAATATCACTCTTAGTTTGCTGATTGCACAAACCAGAGGCCCTGGGCCAGACTTGACCAGCTAGCCATAGTTTGTTTACCTCTCTGTTCCAGATTTTTACCACTCAAAATGCGGTTTGTGAACCAGCAGTACTGACCCCACCCGAGAGTCTGGTAGAGACAGAATCTCTACCCCATTTCAGACTATAGAATCATTGGAGTCTGCACTTTAGCATAGTTCCCTGGTGAGCCATATGCACAAAAACTTTGAGGGGCACTGGCCTTTAAAAAAACGCCATCTGGGCTGGGCGCGGTGGCTCACGCCTATAATTCCAGCACTCTGGGACGCCGAGACGGGTGGATCACAAGGTCAAGAGATCGAGACCATCCTGGTCAACATGGTGGGTGAAACCCCATCTCTACTAAAAATACAAAAGTTAGCTGGGCATGGTGGTGCATGCATGTAGTCCCAGCTACTCGGGAGGCTGAGGCAGGAGAATTGCTTGAACCCAGGAGATGGAGGTTGCGGTGAGCCGAGATCATGCCATTGCACTCCAGCCTGGGTAACAAGAGTGACAAGAGTGAAACTCTGTCTCAAAAAAACAAAAAACAAACAAACAAACAAAAAAACCACTATGTGTGTTTGTGCTAGTGACGCCCACCTTTATTTCTCCATCTCGGACCTCTCCGAGAACTCCAGGCTCCTGTTGAAATAAACCCTGCCTTGGCTGGGCGCGGTGGCTCAAGCCTGTAATCCCAGCACTTTGGGAGGCCGAGAGATCGAGACCATCCTGGTCAACATGGTGAAACCCCGTCTCTACTAAAAATACAAAAAACTAGCTGGGCATGGTGGCGCGTGCCTGTAATCCCAGCTACTCAGGAAGCTGAGGCAGGAGAATTGCCTGAGCCCAGGAGGCGGAGGTTGCGGTGAGCCGAGATCGCGCCATTGTACTCCAGCCTGGGTAACAAGAGCGAAACTCCGTCTCAAAAACAAACAAACAAAAAAAAAACAAACAAAAAAAAGAAATAAACCCTGCCTTGACATCTCCATTTGGAGGTCTCGTAGGTGCATTTCAAGAATCCAGTGTGCTTAAAAGCACATAGCACATATTAACTAGTGGCTCCTATTATTAGTCTCTTGGGCCAGGCCCTGTGCTGTGTACCGTAGCTTTAGAGATGAGTAAGGTACCATCCTTGTCCTCACAGTCCTGTTTGGAGTTGGGGGTGGGGACACAAGTGATAAAAAGAGGGAGGTGAAAAGAGGAGAGTTTGGTCACTGCCTGGACTGTGACCAGGGGCTGAGGTCCTTGAAGGTTGGACCCATGTCACTCACATTAGGCACTTTCAATAAATGAAAAATGAATCCACAGGCTGACCTATGTGTACATTTTTTCCCCATGGGCTGGGCATTCTACGGCCACAAGGTGGCAGCATTGGCAAAATAGTCCTGTGGCCCGCTCCAGCTGTCCCCTTTGTGGGACGGTCAGCCAAGTCAGAGCCTGGGACCTCCGTCTCCAGTCCCAGCCTCAGAATCAACTCAGTGCAGCCTACCCCAAGGGCCCTGAATGTGTGACTCTGCAGCCTCAGCCCTCTGTCCCCCTGTGCGGTTGCTCCTTTGGCTGCTGTCTCTGGCTGCTTCTCCAGACCTCCTTCCCAGAATACTGTTTGCCTAGCGGCACCCCCACCCTCATTTCTGAGCCGGCCGCTCTCCTGGGCACAGTAGAAATTCTGGGCTCAGCTGATTTTTTCTGGTATTTCTCTGGTCACTGGCAATTTTCATTTTCT